CTTAAGACACATTCAAAACATTACACTAAACCTGTTGTACGGAAAAAGACATACAAAAAGTCTAAACGGATTTAAATTAATTGAAACCAACTATTGGTTTGAATTCTTAATATTAGTTTATATAATTCTTAACAACATAGATTATTTTATATTAGCATTACGCTTATTTTTCTAATCTAATTCATTTATAAGTTTAAATAAATTTACTTTTTTTAATTGTATAAAAATTCTGTAGTTTGTAATGTAATGTAATTCTTAAAAATTCCTTATTTTTATGAAAATCATTCCGAGAATTTGATACAAAACATGTGATAAATGAGAAAAATATTGTCTGAAAATGTTTATACAAAAGAAATAAAAGTGAATTAAAGTCAATATTTTGAGATAAAACAGTTAATTAATTTGTTTATATCGAGAAAGTAATGAAAATAAATGAGGAATCGTTATATTGTGCGCCAATAAAGCGATGCCTTTTGCTATAAAACAGATTCAATGGGTTGTCATAAATATTCTTATGGTATATAAAGTGATGCAGAGATGACACGAATAATGAAACAGTTTTAGTATTTGTTTACTCAACACATGAAGAATATTCGTGTTTACGATCAGATGTAGGCCACAGTTTTCCACTGATTAAGTGGTTTTGGTGTTAGTGTTAGACAAATGGTGTGATGCCATGGATTGCATGGATTGCTGTCGCAGTCAAGAGAGTTCTGTCGAGAGAAAGATAAACCGAAAAATTCAGATTCAGATCAAGAAAGACAAGCGAAACTCTCGCAGACAACTAACAAATGGTGTGATGCCATGGATTGCATGGATTGCTGTCGCAGTCAAGAGAGTTCTGTCGAGAGAAAGATAAACCGAAAAATTCAGATTCAGATCAAGAAAGACAAGCGAAACTCTCGCAGACAACTGAAACTCCTATTGTTGGGAACGGGAGAGTCGGGGAAGAGTACGTTCATTAAACAGATGCGAATCATTCACGAGACAGACTTCACTCACGAGGAGAAGAGGGCTTACATTCGTGTCATTCATCGCAACATCTTAACGGCCATCCAGTCCATTGTGAACGCCATGAATCTCTTCGATATTCACTACACGTCGAGTGTTTGCCAACAATATTCTCAACTCATTCTCGACACAGACTTTGATTCCGGGTTTCATTTGGACAACGATTTTGTGAAAGCCATCAAAGAGTTGTGGACTGACCCGGGAGTACAGGAGTGCTATAACCGGCGGAATGAATACCAATTGTCAGATTCGACCAAATATTACTTCTCGGACATCGAAAGGATCGCTTCCAGTGATTATCTGCCGACACAACAGGATATACTGAGAGCGCGGGCGCCCACTAATGGCATCAATGAATACACATTCGTTTACGAGTCCATTATCTTCCGGATGGTAGACGTGGGCGGACAGAGGTCTGAGCGCCGCAAATGGATCCACTGCTTCGAGAGCGTCACATCCATTATCTTCATCTGTGCATTGAGTGAATTCGATGATCAGATCTTAAAGGAGTCTTCGAGTGACAATCGTCTCGAGGAAAGCAAAGCTTTGTTTAAGACAATCGTCACCTGCGAGTGGTTCCACAACTCGTCAGTCATTTTATTCTTCAATAAGTATGACTTATTCGAAGAGAAGATCTGTTCGTCAACTCATTTGATTGACTACTTCGACGACTACGACGGCCCCAAACGGGATGTCATATCCGGGCGTCAGTAGTAATACTTATACAAGAAGCTGAACTAAGGGCTGGTGACAAACTTTGCTTAATAAATAAGCGTGAAGTGAACACGGTGTTTATGTCTGTTATAAGCGTAACAGAAGTTTCGTCAGTTTCTGTGGTACTTTGAGCTCCTCCTCAGAAAAGAGATCCAAATATTTTAATATCACTTTAATTCACCCGTAAATGTAATGTCAAATCAAATAATGACCACATTTTGTTTACAACACAATTTCTTTTTATAATTCATTTGATTCATAAGATTAAGAATCTTTTTCTATGATTTAATTAATATTTTAGTTGTTTTCATCGAATTATAAAAATAAGTGAAAATAAAAAGTAAAATTAATTTCAAGAATCGCTTCTTTCGATTGCCATAAGTTCTGTGACACAACTTCTGTCCATTCATTTGCTTTGGTTTTGTTGTCAATTGGAGTCCAAGTCTTCATTTTTTGTGAGTTTTAATTTTGGCATTCATTTGAATAGACGAACCATTCTGTCTGTCAATGAATTCTTTGTCTATCACTTCTCAGATTCTTGAGATACTTCTTAACGGAAACCTCTTTTTCAATGTATTCGTGTGTTATGTTGGATTTGAATGACATTTAAATATCGAATAAATTATTATCGTTCAATGATTTTAATTTCTTTTTCTATGGGTTCGATAGTCTTGAGCAAATATTTACTGTACATTTGCTGTATTATAAATTGAGTACCGGTATAAATATTTGTATCGATACTTTAGTTTCAATGGAAAGTCTTTTGAGGACAACCTATGAACTGAAATTAATGCAACACTTCTATTGTTTATTGAATTAGATTTTACTTAAAAATTATACGAGTCATTCAAATGATATTTATTTGAAATGCATAAAATATACAGAAAAACTACCGTATAATACGGAAATAGAAAATTAATTTTAAATTAAAGCAATTATTTATTTAATAATTATAATTACTGAATAAAACCTAATTTCTAAATATCAGTACAAACATGGTCTGTAATATAATGGCATAAATCGATACATATTGATAATGTTATAAAGATAATCAAAGATTATTTAATGTATTCAATGATTAAAAAACTATAAATCATTTAATACTAAAACTCTTCATTGGCTCTATTGCTGGTCCGACGTCTATAGTCCTGTTGTATCGATGGGTTTCGAAACCCTCTCTGTCTCTCAAACAGTTGCCGATCTCTAGGCGTTATGTCAGTCCTCAACACCACGGGAGTCAACAATAGATCACTCAAAGGCGTACTCGTGATTAGGTTGCCATCAATGAGACCCCTCTCGATCTGTGCCAACTCTGTCACCAATTTGTTGTCATCTAATTCACTGATTTGGGACTTAATTCTCTGCAACTGAATAGAAAACAAACAATAAATAAAATCTTCAAAATGTCAGCAAAAATCATGTCCAACCGTTTCATCCATTATCTCCTCTCTGGTGGTCCTGTTTTGGGGAACGTCTCGATTGATAATCAGTTTGAGTGTAATGAAGAGGTCATCGAAACGCTTGAGATCTGAGAGCGCCATAAGCCTCAAGTTTTTCACTGTTATATAATTGGTTTGTGTAATCATTGACAGCACTTCCAGTGCTATATTCGGCTGATTCTGGTTCAGAGCCAGAGCTGCGAACAAACAGACCGTCTTCCTCGAGACGGCAGCTCCGGCCTCACGAGCCTTCTTAAGCACATCCAGCGCCTCATCAAACGATTCCTGACTATTCTGTTTGGTTTGCAATGAGATTGACGTAAATATAGATTACATGATCATTAAAATGAATATAAATTACTATTTTATAAGCGGATGCTATGTATAGGAGTAGACAATCGCGCGGGTATTTCGACTCAAAGTGCATCTCATTTTGAATTAATCTGAAGACTTCCCGACACTCCTCATACTTGCCGTTAATGAACAGTAGATTCATTAAAATGACCGCAGATTTGATTTGACCGAAGAATCCTTTCAATTCCTATTAGAAGACAATTTCTGTCAATTTGTTTGCAAACATGTAATTCAGACACCAATTTACAGGATCTTTGAAGAGCTTAAGAGCTAATTGCCATTCAGACAAGTGGTGCAGAAGTCTTAAGACAATTGGCCCGAAAACAAATGTCCCGAACTGTAAGGACTGGTTCTGGTTGTGAAACCTATTGAAAGTCATCGACGGTTAGACATAAGTACTGTAAATCATTCATTAAAACAACCAATCAATTGATTGCAATGACACCTACTTCTTGATGGCACCGCCCAATAGATCCAACTCTTTCTCACTATTTTGTGTCAAAAACACAATATTCTTGAGGTCTTCGGTGAATATCATTTTGGACTCATTTGTGGTGAACTCTTCCATTCTGGCGAAGAACTTCTCTGTAATGGACGCAAACACGTGATAACAATGGTGTCAACCGTTACCACCAATGGATGACAAACCTCTTAATTGTCCGAATTGTGTGTTAATCCGATTCTTGGTCTCCAGGTATCCATTGATACCAAGAATCTCATCCGTAAACAAGTATCTGATCCCAAATGTGTGACTCTTGAGCAGCGTTTTGTTGGCCTTCAAACCGGCACTCATGAGGTTTGAGCGCAACATATGTTTGGTGAACAACAAGATTGAAGACATGATCACTGAATAGGTCTCTGAATTGAATCCAAAACAACAATTAAATAATGAATTGATTTAATGAATGACTCTTTGCCTCAAAACATGCTTTCAATGCATTTTCAAACGCAATGCACACCACGTGGTCACACAAACCACGCCTACCTTACCGTCAAATGTCACTTGAATTGGTCCACAAATTGAGACTCTTTTGGTATAAAAAGATTCATTTATTAATCAAATACTGTATTCATTAACTAAACCGAGACTTAAGTCAAACAATGACTGTCTGTACGGGAAATAAAACACAAATAAGTTATTGAATGAAAATTTGATATTTTTCTCAAACAAATTAATTTTAAGAGATTTTAAGCGAAACTTTAGATTTTGTAGAAAACAACAGAAAATGTATTAATATTTGTAATAAATATGAAGAATAAAAGAATTTTAAATCAGTTTTTAGATTACATTCAAAAAACAAAAATAAATCTCAATTTAATGCAAAATCTGCGGCGGAATGGAGTGCCGGTGCCGGGAATGGTGTGTCACTCGTCGGGTGCCATTGACTTCGCCTGAGCTCTCACTCTCTTCTCGTACTCCAAACGGTTTTGACTATAAATACGACAAAAGACTCGTTAAAACTCATTGACCACTCAATGGCCACAATGACTGACCAGTAGATAGTATAGGCCTCGGCCTGCGCCGGGTCTTTGATGTTGGGCTCATTCAAGAGGTCCTGAATGCCCACTAAGATCTGCTTAATAGTGATGGCCGGACGCCAGTCCTTCTCCTCGTCCAACAGCGACAGACATACCGTTCCCGAGGGATAGACGTTTGGGTGGAAGAGCGGCGGCTCGAACTTACATTTGGGAGGAGTGGACGGGTAGTCGTCCTTAAACAGCATCCGAAGCTTATAGAGGCCGCCCTCCCATGGGGTCTACCATTAAGTCAATGACAATCAGACAATCATTATTAGACTACAATTAGGAACGGGATGCCATTGATGGCACAGTTACCCCAGTCTTGCCGGGTATGGCACACTCCCAGTCCTTCAGGTTCAGAGTGTCGTCGGTATTCTTGACGGGACGGGCGATAAACCCCTGCAAGTGATCACAAGAAAGACAATTAGTGTTACAATTGGCGATCAGACCATCAATGTGGTGATAGTGTCTCACAAACGGGTGATTCTTTCGCCACGCCTTCCGTTCCTCCGCGAGTCTCGCGCTCGCAATGCCAGACATCACCACCAATTGGTCCGCGCAATGGATTCAACACTGAATTCAGTGACAATTAGCGGCGAAAGTGCGACAGAAATGCCTTTTTAGGGACCGATTGCTCAGTGAATGCGAGCGACGAGTCGTGCAATAAGTACGTGAATCTCACTGGAGGCACAACTTTTGGGCCAAACTTACCTTTCAATGCAATTCATTGGCATTTAGTTTAGTTATCATTGAAATCATAGATATTTCGCTATTTTTGGAGATTTAATTGCAATTAGTTTTGACGTAAAAATTAAAGCATTTGTTAATTGCATGAAAACCACTGAAATCCCGTGAAAGCACCGGCGGGTAACCCCTTTCCCAGACCTAATTGCTTGAATACATCCTTAATTGAGGCCTTTTCGCAGTTGTCGTCAAAGGTATCCCAACCCATGAGAGCCGCGGCCAAAGTCATACCCAGGGAGTAGACATCGCAGGGCTCGGCGTCGATGTACTCGTCGTCATCCCTGGCCATCTCCGGCCACAGGAAGTCCTCGGTTCCCGTTCCCAGCGATTCGACTTTCATTCTGCGGCCCTCTTTGAAGGTGACGGAGAGCCCAAAGTCAGTCAATTTGAACAGAATATCCTTTCCGTCGACTCCGAGAAACTTGTGGACAATATTTGCCGGTTTGATGTCCAGGTGCGCCACACGCTGTCCGTGCAAATAGGCCAACCCAGTGACCGACTGGCGCATCATCTCTCTTGACATTAATGATGTGAACGAAGTTCACTATATTCGGGTGTCTGAGTGCTAACAGGTTTGTCATATCAGACAGCATTTCCTTCACGTCTACGTCGAGGTCTTCTTTATTCTTCAATTTAATCACTTTGCAGGCCATCAATACCGGCTGTCCCTGATTGTCGACCACAGTCTCTACTTTCCATACCTTCCCTCAGCCTCCCTCACCCAATACTTCCAAGAACTTGATTTTTGACAACCTTTGGCCCGATTTCTTTAGAAATTTCAACTCATGTCTGAGTAAAGGCTTGTTTTCGGGGATCTCCAGCTTATAATCCTCTCCTATGTTCTCATAGTCTTTCCAAATCTGGGACCAATTGGCCGGACCTTCAATTGGAAGCAACTCTTGTTTGGGTCCCACAGGTNCAACTCATGTCTGAGTAAAGGCTTGTTTTCGGGGATCTCCAGCTTATAATCCTCTCCTATGTTCTCATAGTCTTTCCAAATCTGGGACCAATTGGCCGGACCTTCAATTGGAAGCAACTCTTGTTTGAGTGTTTGTCGGCGTTTGGGTCCCACAGGTCTGGGTTTGTGCCTAAGCCTAACCCATAGGGAGCGTAAGGGGCCGCAGTGTCCCGACCCTGTTGTTGATCCTGAATGTATTTAGTGTAGGCTGGGGTCACCCTATGTTTGGCCCGTTGACCTACTGGTCGCTTTGGCTTCTCTTTTGGTTTTCTTTGCAAAGACTTCGGAAGGAAATTCATTTGACTCACAAATTGTCTGAATCTGTGGTTTACTAATCAAACAATTATTGAGAATAAAAGGTTTGAAAGTTTTTATTTCATATTTTGTTTTCAAAACATTTATCAAAAAATTAATGCTAAAGTAGCTATGGGCAACTCAGATTATAAGTTAGTGGGAAAAGGTTTCGATATTTCCAGAAATTGCTGACAGTATTTCGGGAATATAGGAAATTCCATGGATAGTATAATTAAAATTAAACAAGGTTTATTAATATATTTTAATGAAATT